TCAAAGGTCAATACAAAATTTTGGAAAAGTGTTTTTCAACAGTTGTCCATGCTAAGATGTGTATCAGTATTTCTAAGGTCATTTCCAAAATTTCCAATATTTCAATGAGGTGCATCATCCATGTTAATGCGTGTAACTGCGAAAGTAGGTCAAAGGTCAATACAAAATTTTGGAAAAGTGTTTTTCAACAGTTGTCCATGCTAAGATGTGTATCAGTATTTCTAAGGTCATTTCCAAAATTTGAAAAAAAAAAAAGAAAAAAATTATTCCACAAGTTCCATCTCACACATCTGATACTCAGTGTGGAATCAGGTTTTTAGTTATACATACCCCAACTATTTCATAGACTTGCAAAAATCTTATTTTCCCAATTGGGTGTATCAATAATGTGTCACTTTATCATATAGATATTTCTGTGTTTATCTATTGTCGACTTGCATTGTGGCATTTATTGGTGGATAGCTTGACTCAATACAACCAAAACCAGACTACCTAGAACACTGTTTAATGGTGCCGATTTCCCTACGGCGTTAAAAACCCCTACGGACGCTTAACAATCGTTACATTGTGACTGGTTTTTATTTTCTTCAGTATCCACTAAATGATCCGTGGGTATTACAACATTGTCCTTATTAGTATCTTGTGATTCATTTGCGTTTTCATTATTTTCCACTGCAATCTGGCTGTCAACTGTTGAAGTTTGTTTTGTTCTTGAGTTGTCTTTACAATTTCGTTTAATGTGACCTTTTTTGTTGCATTTATAACATCATCAGTTGATCTGTAGATCGGTAGATCTGTCCCCCATATGGCACATTGATTACGCCGTCGAGTTCACCATCATTGCAGATCATGAATACTTGTCGGCGAAAAGATTTAACATGTTTCAATGTCGGTTGTTTGCAGCCCAAAGGGATTGACCTGATAGCACTAACAGTGCGACCATAATGTGACAGTTCAGTTTTCAGTAAATCATTCGGTAGAAACGGAGGAACTCCCGATAACACAACTTTTGTTGCTGGCTTAACCAGGGGCTCCACATATACACTAGAATGCCCAATAGCAAAACCAGTAGAGCATACCTTTTCAACTGCTTTCACAGTGTCAAGAAAAACAACGACTCTGCTACTTACTCGAGCTGCAGCAATAATATTTTGTGGTGCAAGCGTGTTTGCAATTGCCTGTACATAAGCTTCAATGTCCACACCATAAAGAGATTCGCATTTGATCCCGTGATTAGGTGTTAATCCAGTAAACAAGTTATCACCATTATCTGAAGACAACATGGCGGCCGCCATATTGGAAATCAGCTGTTCGCGGACCTGAAAAGGTCCACGAGATAAAAAACGACTATAATACGTCAATAAAAGATCTGTAAACTCCAAAAACGTACCAAAATGTTCGGTTAATGTTCACGGATATGGTAGTTCACAGATTTGAATCCAAAGGTGCAGCAAAAGCGCGAAAGAAACAATTTGTGTAGGAGCTCTTCTCAGTACATGTACATACATACATACATACATACATACATACATACATACATACATATATATATACATATATATATATATATATATATATATATATATATATATATATATATATATATATATATATATATATATATATATATATATATATATATATATATATATATATATATGAATTATGCAAATACTACAATAAAACATGTACTAGTGTCGGGAAAATACGTATGTTTTTTT